TTCATTGCTATTATGTAGTGAGGCTTTTAATATGAAAGGATAGTAATGACACTTTAAGCAAGCTGTCATTATTTATTGAAGATTCCTCTTCCTACCACTAGTGTAAAGTCTTTGTGATTCCTTAAGCTCTTATTGAATTCAAATACTCTAGATTCAATAATCTTCATATGGATGTTGGGTCTGTTTCTGAGAATTCGCAAGGAGAAGTCACTGAATGACTGGTGATGCACATTTTATAACGTGAATTGCTCATTCTTCCAACACTGGGTTTTATATTGCTCAGAAGTAAATTCCAGTGTCCACTGTGTAAGTATGCAAATAATTGTGCCCCTTTAGTTATTTCTAATTGCATACACTCATTTATTTATAAATGAGGACTGTTTCTTTTTACAGACCAGTTCTAATCAAATGTGCATTTTTTAAAAAAATCAAGAGTATGGTCTTTGGATCTGCTCTGTTATCTGTTCTAATTTGCTAGTAAAATTTTATTCATCTTTTATGACAAGCAGTAAGCTTCTACAACCTTCGGCTGACTGCAAGGGGCTTACCTTATTTGCAGTACTGAAACTAATGCAATATTATTGGAACTTGGGAGATATTAACTCAGATTTATTGCAAATAAAGACATAGATATATAGAAATTGATTTGTAACTAGTTTACGGCTTCCAAGAGAAACATATGCAATATAAAGAACACATATGCATTACAGTTTACCAAATACATCACAAAATATTGTTTTTGCTCAAGCTGATGAATCAACATCGGCTGTAGTGAGAAGGAAGGTGTTTGCAGCTGCTATCTTACATACATGTATCTAAGTGACTCCAATCAAATTCCGTGGGACTTAGTTCTGGATAGAAATGCATAAGATTCCACAAGCAATGGTTAGAAGAAACAATGAGTGGACTTGCTACTCGAGTGGCGCACAAATTAAATCAGTCAGATCCTATGACCTTGAAAAAAGCATGTACTCTACCTAAAGACCTTCAAAATTTGTGGTTGGTTTAGAAATGCCCTAATAGGTGATGCCCTAACACAACAGCTTCCTGGTGTGTGTGCATGGGTGTGTGTGTGTGTAGCCTGCATAAATAAATTGCAAACCACCCAGAGAGTGCTTTAAGCACTATGGGGTGGTATATAAGCAGCACACTTTTTAGTATATGATAGTGATAGTCCATTACCTGCTGGTATTTCCCTTTACAAATATTTTTTAAAATTGTTCAGGCGGCGGGAGGGAGGGAAGTAACCATAGCCTTGTCTATAAGTTCTCTGGAATGAAAAATTGAACAGTGTTGTATAAAAATATCAGGTATGTTCTGCCAACAGATTTTCTTCATGGATATAACTTCCATGGCTTGCGTCCTATACACAATTATATGAAAACAAATACCACTAAAACTAATGGGACTTACTGGATTTCCTAAGTCAACATGCACAGCACAAGGCTGCACGTAGGGGGAAGCACATTTCTTGTTGCTAATGGTTGAAATGTTTTTCCAAGCAAGCGAGTGAATAAGCCACATTTCATAAGTGAGAGAGTACACTTTGGCAAAGTGAATTTGAAGGCACTCTTCTTAGAAATGAAAACAGAAGTGTTAAGACAAACACGTTAGTCCCAAGATGAACTGATACAAAAACTTTGTGTATGTAAACACAAAGATTTTTAAAAAATCATTATAAGCAATCCTTCTGACTTGGACAGATGGAATATAAACCTATATATTTGGACTGCCAAGATTTTAAAGTAGTCTGTCTTTATATAAGGGATATTCAACACAGCATAGACAAGGTTTAATATTTAGAGGTGACTGGAAACTCCACAGTTAATCATGTGATCCTGTATGGATTACCACAACATGTAGCAATTATAAAGAGGCAGGTATTATATGTCTCACTTTTACATTAACAAATTGCTCCTGAGAACAAGAAAAGCACAACTAGTACATGCAGAGTACTGTTCTCAAACACTTGAAGTAACAACACAGAACCAAAGGGATTGCATTGTTAACTGTTTCATAAGGACGCATCAATGCAGTCTGCTTTGTTTCACAAAAATGTCCTTGAAACACAGGTAGCAAGCAAGCCTCAGATTATAACTGGAACATACCTGAATTTCCCTTGCGTGGTATACAATAATCAGACCAAGCAGAATGATTGTAGAGAGGCTAATAAGGCATTTTAGGGCTAATGAATACAGCGACTCCTGCAAAAGAAAAACAGATACTTTTTACATTGATATTTTGCCCTTCATCTTGAAGATCACAGAGGGGAATAGAGGTTATCTATGGCAAGAAAGGCTTAGCACCCCCCCCCTTTTTTTTAAAGGTACCAATTGGTTTTTGAAAAGCATTTTTGAAGGGTGAACTCATTGTCATGGCAAAGAAACACAGTGCTGGGAATCAACCAGTTCTCAGGGACCTTCTAAAGCGATAAGGAGCAACAGAACCCTCCTGCAACATTGATGTAGTTCTCAGCACAAGTAAAATTAGATAAGTCTTTTGGGAATTAAACATTATCTAAACTGTGGCGATCTTGTACAGTTTGCCAAAGCCTGCAATATAATGCATTTAAACAGTTGCTTTTTCCAATTATTAGCTCATCACAGTATTATCCTGTGCTCACGTCTCTCCTAGCTTTGCAGCATGGATAAGAGTCACTTTCGAATACAGGGCTGTCTCTGCATTGTGTAGGACCTACAACCTAAAATACCTATCTACTGGATGTAGCTGCAGAAGGCATCCATAGGACAATATCAGTAGTAGGTACTAATATCGATTCAAAGTATTGTGGATGAACAAGGATGATCCAAAGCAGACTTGGCTGTACAAATCAGCAAGTTCTCCGTTGCTCCCTGTGTGGCAGAGCCACTGCATTTTCGTCCTACAAAAACATGGATTCTAAATACCTGCGGATAAAGTAAGCCCGTGTACTCAAAAGATAGCAGTTTAATATGGAAGAGGCGGTCACGGCTTAGGCTGGAACATCCTTTCTAGCTAGAACTCGGGCAGAGCCTGCTTCGGTGGCAATCGCCACGGGAATCGCGATGCACACGGACTTTGGGGCACACGAGCGTGTGCAGCTGAAACGTTAGCCACGTTCCTGAACGCACCTCCGGGGAAGCAGAGGCCCCTGAAGTCACCGGGACTTTCTCAATGAATGCCCGGGGGATCGGGGTTTGAAACGGGTGACGTAGCGAGAGGAAAGAACGGGAGGCAGGGAAGCCTGTTCAGAGGAGGGCAAGACTCAACGACAAAGGAGAAGGGAATCGAAAAGCAGGACAAAGAAGGAACTAAGGGCACAGCGGAAGATGTTGCAATGAGCGAAATAGATAACAAAGAAAACCAGGAGGGTTGAGGGGAGACGAGGGAAGGCCAGTGAGAAAGAAAGCGGGGTTTTAAAAGAAGAGAAGGGGGAAAGGGAAGGAAGATCCAGGGCGAGGAAGGAGGCGAGGAGCAATACCTTCGTGTAGGCGCCCCACGACAGCTCCGTTTCGATGACCATGACCACGATGCCGAACATGCCGAAGATGAGCGCGTAGTCGCTGAGGCGCTTCCGCTTCTCGAAGAGCGCCCGGCGGTGCCCCAACTTGTAGCCGATGTTCTGGTTCTTCTTCTTGCTGGACTTGCTGCCGCTGTTGGTCTGGCTGCCGCCGCCGCCCCCTCCTCCTCCTCCGCCGCCGCCGCCGCCGCCGGAGCCGGAGCCGTAGAGCGCCAAGTTGTTGGAGTTGTTGTGCTCGGGCTTGGAGAC